ACCTGTCAGGCGCGGCCTCCCGCTGTCTCCCCCGCTGCGCGGCGCCTCCTCCAGGCCCCAGAAAACAGTGCCAACCCCGCGGCCGCTGCTGCCCCCGCCGGGACCGAGGCAAGTTTACAAACACCAACCCGGGGCCCGTTTCCCCGGAAGCACTTTCCCCTCCCCCTCGTCCTCTCCGCGGAGCGGCAACATCCACTTCCGGGCTTGGGAGCCTGGACAGGCGGGGGCAGGCAGAAAGGAGGTGAGGTTGGGGACACGCGGAGCGCTGCAGCTGGCGAGTGGGTGGGGCCGCGCTCAGCAGGATGGGAGGTGGCGTGCCGAAGAGCTGGCGCGTGCGCAGTGATGTGTACGAACTCCGACTGCCATCTTGAATGAGGGCAAGAACCGAGGCCCGGAAATCGCTAGGCGCTGGAAGCTATTTTAGTGTAGGTTTGGTGGATGAGCTAGTTAAAGCTCTTGAGGAATCTCCATTTCTCTGCCTTCCATCATTAAAGGGCCAGGAGCCCCAAGTAGAAACCAGAGTAGTTCGAATTCCCGATCTTTTCACTCAAATCGGCCAGGTTTGTCATTCTCTAAGCTTGTCATCGGAGCTTGTCCTTCAGATGCTGGGGTCGGCTGAAGCGAAGAGAACTTTCTTTGCAAAATCCTGCCTTTTGCGATCTAACACAGTCTGAAAATGTGTTCTTTCAGAGATGTTTCTTGAATAGTCTGAGGCCGCCCCCGGCTCATGTCCTGGCAGAAGTTAAAGCCTCTCACCTCGATGGCTGCTGGTTAACTTTTACCTTTCTGCCTTTATTTTAGGCGGTGTAGTTGTGGCCTCCTCGCTGCAGACCTAGAACTCTTCGCAGTAGGAGACTACTTTTGTAGGAAACTTTGCTATGCAGGTTGGACCCTGCGTCAGGTTTCATTAGGAAAACGGAAAATTGATCCCATTTTCAAATTCTGCCACCACCTTTAGCCGTTAGGAGGGGTCCTAGAGATGGAAATGTTAATTCCATTTAAATTCCAATTTCTTTTTTGGTACCAGGGATCGAACTCAGAACCTTGCTCTTGTGAGACAGGTGCCACGTCACTGAGCTAAATCCTAGCAAGTACAGTTTTTGCTGTAGGCACTATCAAGTTGTGAGTTTAGGAAAACTAATGATATTGAAAAAAAGTATAATGAGAAAAGACTTTCCGACTGGTATTTTGTACAAAAATTTTATTTTCCTGAGCTCTGTACGCTTGGAGACATAAAAGGAATTTTCTTGTGCTATCAGAATCATCCTAAAGTTGAGATAAAATGAAGCGAAAGTCACCAGAAAAATTTTTTTTGAGACAATGTCTTGCTATGTAGTTCATGTTGGTCTTGAACTTGCTATGTAGTCCAGCTGGCCTCCAGTCTACAGCGATCCTCCTGCTTCAGCCTCCTGAGTGCTGGGATTACAGGTGTGGGTCATCATGCCTAGCTAGAAATTAATTGGAAAAGGGGCTGGGGATTTAGCTCAGTGGTTCCGCTTTGCAAGTGTAAGATCCAGAGTTCAACCCCCAGTATCAAAAAAAAAAAAAGAAAGAAAGAAATTAATTGGAAAAAAAGTTCATACTTTTATCGATCCATCCAGTACAAAATATGAAAGCTAAAAATGTTTAGTCTCCTGTGTTATCCTATGTTCCTGATAACTCATCTTACCAGTTGCATGTAGTTTATACCTCCAGACTTCTGTTTATATAAAAAAGTTTTATCTGGGCATATTTATTGAGCACCTATAAGGTGCCACAGTGTATTTTGGACATGTCCCAGTTCTCCCCCACCCTGTGGTATTAGAGATGAACCCAACACCTCTCTTGCCTGCACATGGAGCTAGGATCCTAGCCCATCCATTGACTGTTTTTCCGCCCTGTGCTGGGAATGGAGTGCTGGGAATCAAACTCATGCTTTGCCTGTGCTAGGCAAGAGGTCTGCCATTGAACCATACCCACAGTCTCCTACTTTAAAAAAATTATTTCATAGGGGATTTAGCTCAGTGGTTCTGCTGCCTGCCTTACAAGTGCAAGGACCTGAGTTCGATCTCTGGTACCAAAAAAAAGAAAAAAAAGAAAAAGAAAAAGAATAAAATTATTTCATAACAAATGGGCAAAATGTAAGCCTGTAGTGCCAGCTACACTGATGGTTGAGTGAAGAAGAGTGCTTGAACTAATAAGCCTGGGCAGTATAGTGAGACTCTCTCCAAAAAGAAAAATAAAATTTGCAAAATTGCACAGAACTGGCCAGGTGGGGTAGTGTGCACCTGTAGTCCCAGCACTCAGAAGCCTGAGGCAAAAGGATCTTTGTGAGTTCTAGGCTGACCTGGGCTGCCAGGTGAGTTCAAGGAAAACTTGAACTACATAGCAAGACCCTGTTTCAGAACACCAAAAACAGAAGGAATTGCTCATAATTCCACTTTATGTTTATTTATTTATTTTCCATGCCAGGGATTGAACTCAGGACCTTGTGCTTGTGAGGCAGGCATGGTGCTGCTGAGCTAAATCCCTGGGCTGTGTTGATTTATATAGTCCCACCTGATGAACCTTTTCGTTAGCTCCTGTTTTTTTCTTTTACACAATGCTATAATGGTATGGGGAAACAATGAGAACCAAGATCTGCCATGTAAAGCTGCAAGATCCCAATGATGAACGTAACTGTACTGTATACTTAAAATGTATCAATAAACTCAATGAAAAAATTAAAGGGCTGAGGATTTAGCTCAGTGGTTCTGCTGCCTGCCTTGCAAGTACAAGGACCCAAATTCAACCCCTGGTACCAAAAAATAAAAAAATAAAAAATGCTATAATGAACATTCTTATATAGTTTTTTTCACAAGTTCATAGAATTTGTGCCTTTAAAATTTTAATAGAATCTGAAATTGTGTTTCAAAAGTACATGCTCATTTAGGTCCGTGTGTAAATGCTACTACCTTGGCAAAACTGGATGTTGTTTTGTGTAGACAAGTGATTTTTCTTTTTCTTTTTTTTGAGACAGGGTTTAGCTATATAACTTGAGGTGATCCTCCTGCAGTTACTGATTTGATAAGGGAAAATACTATTTTGTTTTAATTTGTGTGTCATTAATATGTCATAAATAGTGAAGTTAGTCACCCCTCCCCAAACCCAGGGGCTCTTACCACTGAGCTACATCCCAACCTTTTTATTTTTTATTTTTAGATGGGGGGGGGGTCCTTGCTAAGTTGTCCAGGCTAATCTTCAACTTGTGAGATCCTCCTTCCTCAGCCTCCAGAGTAGCTGCTCGTTTTAATTGCTTTTGTAAACTGTCTGTTCATATTCTTTGCCCATGAAAAAAGAGTAGATCATTTATTATTGATTGACAAAAATCCTCTTCATCTTGTAGATATTACTGTTCTCATCTATCAACTTCTTTTGAGAGCAGAATGGATGGGGGTGTGGTTAGTGCCAGGCTGTGGTTTCAGCCTTGACAAGGGTTCTACAACCCCACCAATGGGGATTGAACACAGGACCTTGCACTTGTGAGGCAGGTGGCAGCACCGCTGAGCTAAATCCCTGGCCCTTCCCAGCTGTTTTTATTTTTGATTTTGAGATAGGGATTTGGTAAGTTGCCCAGGCTGCCCTCACACTTGTCATCATCATGTCTCTGCTTGCTGAGCCATTACAGGCTTCTGGTGGTGTTTTTGCAGTACTGGGAATTGAACCCAGGGATTCATGCATGCTGGGCAAGTACTATACCACTGAGCCAATCCCTAACCCTTAAATTGGTTTTTAAAATTTACATTGGAAAAGAGTGATTGCTAGGAGAGCAAAGACCAGTTTTTTGTTTTTGTTGTTTGGTAGTGTGGGGTGTTTTTCTTTGTTTTTGTTTTTTGAGACAGGGTTTCACTATGTAGTTCAGGCCAGTCTTGAACTCACTGTGTAGCCCAGGCTGGCCTCAAACTTGTGATGATCCTCCTGCCTCGGCCTCCTAAGAACTGGGATTACAGGTGTACACCACCATACCTGGCTGCAAAGACCATTTTGAAAAGCACTGGGTAAAATGAGTGAGAAAAATAAAGCCAAGAGTTATCTTTAACCATTTTAATGGTGTCTATCTTTACGCAGAAATTTAAGTTTTATGTTGCTAAATCTGTGGCTTATTAGGGTTTTTTGTTTGTTTGTTTTTTGGCCTAAGGGTTCGAACTCAGGGCTTTGCACTTGTGAGGCAGGTGCAATGCCACTGAGCTACATCCCTGGCCCCAAGTTTTTGTTTTTGTTTTTGGTACCAGGGATTGAACTGAGGACCTTGCACTTGCAAGGCAGGTGCGGCACCACCGAGCTAAATCCCTGGCCCCCCAAGTTTTTTTTTTTTTTTGGTACTGGGGATTGAACTTGGGACCTTGCGCTTATGAGGCAGGCGTGGAACCACTGAACTAAAACCCCAACCCTCCCCAAGTTTTTTTTTATTAAAATATTTCCCTGCTGGGGATGTAGCTCAGTGACGCCACGCCTGCCTGGCAAGCACAAGGTACTGAGTTTGATCCCTGGTACCAGAAAAAATTTTCCTATACTTCTGGTATTCTGATAGTTGTAGATTTTCAGTGTATGTCTTTATTATAACTGTAATTCATTTTCATATATGGAAAAAGGTAGTGAGAGATGTCAGATTTATCTATTTTTCATGTAACAAAAGATGGTTTTATTTGAGGAAAAAGATGGGGAAAAAAAAAAATAAAGAGAATAGGCTGCTACCGTGATTTGGCACAGGCCTTCAGAGCTGAAAGCTCTAAGCAACCAGTGATATAGAAAGTTTAGCCTAGATGTCGGAAAGTCAGTGACCCAGGATTGTTCCATGTTACCTTTGTAATCTTGAACAAATTAGTTCACTCTGGCCTGAGAGACAGATAAGAATAAATAAATAAATATTCTAGCTCATTTCTAGTAACTTTTTTTTTTGTAGTACTAGAGGTTGAATTCAGAGCCTTCACTCTAAGCTACAATTTCAGCCCTTTTTATTTTTTGAGAGAGGACCTTGCTTAGTTGCTAAGTGGCCAAGGTTGGACTTGAATTTGTAATCCTTTTGTCTCAGCCTCCCAGTGTGCTGGGATTACAGATGTGCACCAGC